TCTCATTATATTTCTCCATTTACAGCCGAGCCCGTGCGCAGTTCCATTTTAAGAGGTTTCCCCTCTACTAAATCTATCCAGGTAACATTTCTGCTCGGGTTGCTCACATTATGTATCTTCAAACTTAATAAATCCTTCATATTAATAGACCTCACTGTATTCAACAGTATGGATTTGGGCGTTTTGCGGTGTTTTCGGCGTTTGTATGGGCGTACCTTGTTGTTTTGAGCGACAGACTCTTAAAATGCGCTTCGTTAAGGTTTGCTCCAAAATTGCAGTGGGCCGCTAGCTTCTTAAGATCAGCCACGTAGGTCAACACAGTTTCTCCTTCACGCTGGTTTCGTTTGTAAAAACCAAACCGTTCTGCTATTTCCAATGGCTTAGGGCTTAACTAGTGTTGTTGAAGGGTTGTGACGAACTCCTAGACGCTCTTCGTAGCTGATATATCTGGTGTCAGAGGATCTCTCAACAATATGGATGTTTTGCCGCCAAATAAAGCTTAACAAGGTTTGCGCTTGGTGGTCCCCATCTATGTTGTTTGCTAAGAAAAAGTGTTCGACATAGGTGTCCCACTTCCCTTGTGTTTTATCAGAACTGTCTATCTCCCCGAAAACGGTCATATTTTTGACTTGTTTCGTAGGAGTATATCCTCGTCGCCATTGTCATGTATTCACTTTCAATGTGAAATCAAAGCACGTGGTTACAGAAATACGCATAAGTTCACATGCTCACAAAAGTCACCGCTGGCAGAATACACAAGAAGGCTTGTCCCTGCTTCGCATCTACACAACCCGACCCCCAATATATGCTGACCTGTATGTTTCACTCTATTTAACTTACTGCAACTAATTTCTTTGCCCATTGTTTTACAGACATTGACTATTGCATTAACCACACATGTCAGAACGGTGGGTCTTGTGTGAATGGCATTCACAGTTACTCATGCAAATGCCTAACAGGATATACCGGAGGTAGCTGTGAAAGTGGTAAGTTTGTACTTGCTGTGATTTTGTTATTTGATTATATTCATTTCACTTGGTTTTGTTTTATTTAATTCAATCTTAAATTTCTTCTGCCGGGGCTTGTGTTTCCGTTCGTAAGCCTGTAGGTGCGTTCTTTATTTTATACGCACACCTTCCCCCTCCCTTCCCCTTATTTATCTCATCAAACCACGGTGACTCGTAATTAGTTTTTACTTTTGTGATAAACACCTTCCAATCATGACGTCAAATCATACCTTAATTAGGTAACATTGCAAGAAAGTAACCCATTTTGTATCGGGAATCTTTGACTACAAACATTTTTAAGTAATAGTTCAATTGTTTCTAACTTGATTTAGTAACAACAACAACAACAGCAACATAAAATAGAAAAACCGTTAAGGTTATAGAAACAAATCCAAAATCTTACCAAAAGCGAAGCTTAAAGAAGCACCAGAATTTTGTAAAACACTCTTTGAAAACATTGTTGTCATATAAACGAAAATGTTTCAATAAAACAGTCATAAAACTTAACCACTATACGTAAAAT